GTTCTCCCACAGAGCTTCAGTCTCTATGGATGGGTGATAGTCCCTGGCCAGGTAAATAAAGTTCTCATTGATTTGAATTCAGTGTTTTCTGAAGTGGCTCCCCATAACACTACAATGGAATATTAATCAGCACAAAAAATGTATGAGCTATCAAGTCATGATAAAATATGAGGGAAAATTAAATGCATATACTACATGGAAGTAGCCAGTCTGAAAAAACTATGTTCTGTATGACTACATAACATTCTGGAAAAGGCAAAACTATGGAGACAATGAAAAGATCCTGGTCAAGATGAGTGGGGAGGCAAAGGCCTGTAATCTCAGTAACTCTGGAGGCTGAGGCAGGAGAATTGCAAGTTCAAAGTCAGCCTCAGCAAATTAGCTAGGCCCTAAGCAATTTAGTGGGACTCTGTCTCAAAACAAAAAATAAAAAAGGGTGGGGATATGGTTCAGTAATTAAGTGCTGTGGGTTCAATCCCTGTTAACAAAATAGACAAACAAACAAATAAATAAATAAATAAAAAACCAATGACAAAAGATGCCTAGTTGCCAGAGATTAGCAGGGAGAAATAGGGATATAAAGAGAGGATTTTAGAGTAGCAAAGCTATTCTGAATGATAGGACAATGATGGACACATGCAATTATACATTTGTCAAAACCCATAGAAAATACAAGAAGGAACCCTAATGTTAACTATGGACTTTGGTTGATAATGGTGAATCAATGTCAGTTCGTTGCTTGTAACAAATATATCCATCTGCGGAGAAAAGTTGATAGTGAGGGAGTTGTGTGTAGGTGTGTGTGGGGGTGTTAGGGGATATATAGAACTTTGTACTTCCTGTTTATTTTATTGTAAATTTAAAATGTCCCTTAAAAATAAAGAGTGCTACCAAAATAGACTTGTAGACCAATGGTACAGAATAGCAGACACAGAGACAGACCCTCATAAATACAGTTATCTTATCTCACATTAGACAAAGGTACCACAAACATGTATTGGAGAAAGGATAGTGTCTTCAACAAATGGTGCTGGGAAAACTGGAAAACCATATGTAACAAAATGAAATTAAGCCCCTCTCACCATGCATAAAACTCAACCCAAAGTGGATCAAAGACCTAGGAATTAAATTAGAGACTCTAGTAGAAGAAAAAGTAGGCCCAAATCTTCATTATGTTTGATTAGGCTCCGACTTCCTTAATAAGACTCCTATAGCACAAGCAATAAAATCAAGAAGCAATAAATGGGATGGATTCAAACTAAAAAGCTGCTTCTCAGCAAAAGAAATAATCAGTGAGGTGAATAGAGAGCATACAGAATGAAAGCAAATTTTTACTACACCCACATCAGATAGAGCACTAATCTCTAGGATATATAAAGAACTCAAAAATCTTAGTACCAAAAAAACAAATAACCCAATTAATAAATATGCCAAGGAAATGGACAGACACTTCTCAGAAGATGATATACAATCAGTCAACAAATGTATGAAAAAATGTTCAACATCTCTAGCAATTAGAGAAATACAAATCAAAACTACTCTAAGATTTCATCTCACTCCACTCAGAATGGCAATTATCAAGAATACAAGCAATAGTGCTGGTGAGGATGTAGAGAAAAGGCTACACTCATACAAATTAATGCAACCAATATGGAAAGCAGTATGGAGATTTCTTGGAAAACTTGCAATGGAACCACCATTTGACCAGCTATCCCACTCCTCGATTTATACTCAGAGGACTTAAAAACGGCATAGTATAGTGACACAGCCACATCAATGTTTATAGCAGCACAATTCCCAATAGCTAAATTGTGGAACCAACCTAGATGCCCTTCATAGATGAATGGATAGAGAAACTGTGGCATATAATCACAATGGAATATTACTCAGCATTAAAAGAGAATATAATCATGGCATTTGTAGGTAAATGGATGGAGTTGGAGAATATAATGCCAAGTGAAGTAAGCCAATCCCAAAAAACCAAATGCTGAATGTTTTCTCTGATATGAGGTGATGGGGGGAGCATGGGAAGAATGGAAGAACTTTAGATAGGGCAAAGAGGAGAGAGAGAAAGGTAGGGGCAGAGGGGTAGAAAAGACGGTGGAAGGAGATGGCCATCATTACCCTAAGTACATGTATGAAGACACAAATGCTATGTCTCTACTTTGTGTACACCCAGAGACATGAAAAAATGTGCTGTATATGTGTACTATGAATTGAAATGCATAATGCTGTCATAGATAACAAATTAGATTAAATAAATTAAAAAAAACAGCAAAAATAAAAAAAATAAAGAGTGCTAAAAATTATACCACAGTGCCCTCCTTTCCTCTACAGAATACCTTCAGAAGAAAGTCTCTAATCACTGGCACCTGTGGTAGTCATCAGTTCTCTCCCCATTTTGGTTTTCCCCCTTTCTGAGAACATGGTAGAATTATATTTCCTGAATGCCATGTTGGGTGTGGCCATATGACTGGTGTGAGCAATGAAATATGACATCTCATTCTAGGTTGAAATCTTCAAGAGTTAGCATGAGATTTACCATGTTTCTTGCCATAGCAATGACTAAGGGTGTTCTTTAAGGTGGAGGCTGTGAGATGTGTTTCTGAGTAAAGTCTTTGCGGAACAGAACACTTCATAAAATGGACATGTGTGTTAATGTTCTGTTTTTACTGAGCATGCTCTAGCCTGCTCTGGCTGAATCAGCACCTGATACAGTATCTATAGTGACATGTACATAACATAAAAAAAGGTAACGGAAGTTGAATTTCAATAAACTACATTATTTGAAAAATACAAGTTTGCAAGAAATGTGACATATTTTCATATGTAACATGTTTCTAGTAATTGTGTTCATTTTCTGAAAATTTCAAAAGCCATTGCTTTTGGCTCTTCATATATTTTACAAAATTTTTTGGTGGCAGAGTTAGGAGAAAGTATTGGTGTAACAATCCATGGGAAATATGTTTGTTACATAATGCAAGGAAGAGATGATGAGAAGTGTAGCAGAGTTGCAGTGGGTGGAAGTATTTTAGCACTTTGCTAATGTGAAAGAATATTTCTCATGTAGATATAAAAGTAGTTAAAATTACTTGAGAAAATATCATCTTTTCAGATCTGTTAACAAGAGACAAAATGGTAAACTCTTTTATTTGGTGCCCCATCCCTTTGATTTTCTACCTATCCCTTGTTTTCTTTTTATTATTTTGAAAGGTCATCACACTGTATGTATTTTCAACACTTTAATCCCTTGGAAGCACAAGGGCATGGGCTGTAACAACTTTTATCTGTGTAACTCCACCCCCCTTCCTATCTCTTCTCTGCAGTCCTAGTCCTTCTGTCTCACTCAAATCTTTTGCCTACACCCACATTCTTTCCTTCAGTTTGGGGGAAATGAAGAGGAGGGTGGAGAAGTAGGTCAAAATGGGAGATTTTATCAAATCCTAAAACATTATAAATATAGGGCATCTGATCCATAAAAGGAATAGAAAATATTAACAGATTAAGGTTTCTTTATTTGAATCTCTTACCTACCTTTTCTCCTGAGGTTATTAGACATAAAGAACACAGGAAAATTTAAAGAAAACAGCAAAAAGCTAAAAGGTGGATTAACAATTTTGATGTATTTATTGCATTACATTTGCTCTTAGTTGAATTTCAACGTCCTTAAAATAAAATGCCCTTATTTTGCTATGAGTATATAGTGTTTAACTGTCCCTGGATATTGTTTCTTTGAACTTATTCAGAGCTATATGATTATGTTTAGTGCTTTTTTGTCTTTTTAAATTCTTTTGGCTTAACAGACTATGCATTAGGATGTTCTAACCATTTTATCTGTGTTGATTTTACTTTCCCCCAAAGATAGTGTCCCAAGATCCTTGAATTTGAAGAAAAATTTAACTACACTTAGTGTCCCCAATTTCCAACACTTCATTAGTTTTTTTTTTTCTGCAGACTTTTTACCTGTTTTTCAAGGTGTGCCTTAAATCCCACTTCCCTTATTTACATTTTCTCTAGTTTTCCCCTCCTCAATTGTGTACTACACAACCATGTATCTTTGATAGGTTGAATAAATGCCCTCACCCCAAGATTTCCACTTTTGCTATAGTTTGGCTTTGAAATGTCCCCCAAAAGCTCTTATGTTAAAGGTTTTGGTCTTCAGGTTGGTGCCCTGGGAGGTGGCAAAAACTTTCATTAAAGTGGAGCCTTGTGGGTCTCATGGCAGTGTGGGGCCAGTTCTTATACACTGGGATTGGGCTGTTGCATAATTGTAAGATAGTAAATTTGTGTTGTTTTTAATTTAGTTTGTGGTCATTTATTACAACAGCCATAGAAAATGAACACACAATCGCTACTGCCTTCACAGTGCTCTAGCTCTGTTCCACATAATTCAGCACTTCAATGTTTTGTTCGCTTACTATGAATAAGTGGTAAAGTATAAATTCCTGGTGAACAGGAACAAGGACTTTTACTTTTTTTTTTTTTAAGCCCTCCATAGTGCCTAGTTCATTCTTAGGTATTCAGATATTTGGAGTGAATTACACAATAACTTGTTATTATAGCTGAAAACCAGGAACCGATTTTTTTTTTTTTTAACCTCTCAAATCGCAGGGAATGCACGCAGTCCCTATTCTTAAGGTTCTTCCTTAGTGCACACACCGCGCAGAGAGGGTCTGCCCTCAGGGAGAAGTACGTTCTTCTTTTTACCAAACCTCAGTGAACAAAACCCAACTATTCCTCCGCTTCTAACAAGGGTTACGCTCTTCCGGTCTTCGTAATCCACCTAGAAACAACCCAAACCGGCCACGGCCTCCCCTAAGTCCCCCACCTACGGCACGTCATAGCCCTAAGCCGCGCCTCCAGCCCTGCGTTATGGGCCAGAGTACTACGTCACCACCGACGTAGGGGCCGGGGCTTCTGACCCGCGGTCACGTGTCCGACGCCACTGTCTTCCGCCTCCGTCATTTCCGTGTGCGACTGCCGCTTCTGTCCGACAGGAAGCTAGAGGGGCTGGATTCGTACTTGTATCTGATCGTCCACCCCACTGCCCCTTCCCTTTGCCCAGCGGGAGGGACATGAGCGTCCCTGGGCCACCGCCCCCGGACGGGGTCCTGGCCAGGCCCCCTGACGTCTTGGAGGCCAGTGAGCCGACGCCGGGTACGTGGTGTCGGCTGGACCAGCTGCCCCTGCGAGTCCGAGGAGCCGGGACCCGAGTGGGTGGGACGCCGGAGCCGCTCGGAGGGAATCAACAGCTATCTGCAGTTGCGGCCGCGAGGACTCTGGTCCTGCTGCCTAGCGGAATGGGCGGGAACCAAAGGCCGGAGGGGAAGCTGTGTGTTGGGGTGCAGCTACTGGCGTTTGATGGCGAAATCATTTTAAGTTTGTGTTGACTCTGGCACGTTGTTGGTTATTTGTCAGAAGGCTAGGGGTTAGGAATGAACTTGTCACAAAAGGTGTTCGATCGATTTATAATTCAGAGAGTTATTAACTATTGGCCACTTACGAATATTCCACCTTGTTTGGTGCCGTTATTCATCTCCATTCCTCCAGCAGCCTTTTAAACCCGAATTCTAGGGGAGATTTAAGCATAAATACCCAAAAGTTGAATGAACTTGCTGTGCATCCAGACTGGTGCTGTTTATGTGTCATCATCCTTGGGGGAATTGAGAAATAGGCACTCAAAGCGTTTGTGTTCTTTAATTAATGTAAGGGACCCTAGAAGAGAAAGGTTGTAGGGATTTGGATCTACCTTTAAAAAATAACTCCTTTTCCAGAAATGAGGAGATTGCCCCAAAGTAGTGCTCTTGGCACTTTACTGCTCATACTTTTACTCAGTGATCTACTAGTCTTCACACCTTCATAAGTCACTTCTATAAATATGACTTTTTTTTTGTGGTGTATGTTTACAACTTGGGCCCATCTCCTAACTCACTTGCTTCTCTGATGGATACTTTGACATGGTTGTTTTGCACTAATCTCACATACAACATGCATAGATATTGTGCATGTTACATGTCTGATCCTGTTAATGGTGCCAGGTTACTATCACTTGAAATTGCTCTCAACTCTTTGCAGTCTTGTTTCCCCCCTCTTTGATGTTGGGGGTTCTACTATAAAATTTCCATCTCTTCTGTATTTTCATCCTTTACTCAGCAGTTGTAAGTTTACTCAGAGTTGTAAGCACTCTCAATACTATTTCAACCTGTCTTTCCCAGTACTGTTCCATCACTGTTCCAAGATAAAGCTCCAATCATGTCATTCCCTTGCCTAGAATCTTTAAATGGCTCTTCACTACTTATTAAACAGAATGACTTATTAATCATGTCATTCCCTTGCCTAGAATCTTTAAATGGCTATTCACTACTTATTAACTTGGCACTTAAGGACCCTCACAGGCTGGTCACATTGTATTACAGCTTACTATGCTGTGTATGCCTCATGCTCTTGACACCTCACCCCCTCTTCCCTTTCCAGAGCAATCCTATATTCCCACCTTTCCTTTACCCATATTGCATTCCTTCTACCTTTCATAGAATTCTACCCATTTGGAAATAGTTCACCAGAAGATTGATTGTTGGTGGGAGTGTAAATTGATGCCATCTCCTAGGAGGGGGTTTGCATTGTTTCAAAAGTGCATAAACCTTTTAATTGTCTGCTTCTAAGAATTTATCCTACAAAAACTATTACACAGATATGCAGAGATTTAGCTAGGACACTTACTATAGCATTGTTTTAAATGACAAAAGGTAAAACTAACCTAAATAATCCATCCATGAGGAACTGGTTAAACAAATTTTGGTAGAATTCTATTCTGTTAAAAAGAATGAGTAAAATGTATGAATTGCCAAGATCATTGTAATGTCATGTGTAGCTAATAAAAAAAGAATGAGTAGATTAGTATGTGTTGCTATAGAAAGACATATATAAGACATATATTTTAAGAGAAAAGTAGAACAGTTTGAGTTGTATTTTATTCATGATAGAAAGACTAATATGCATGCTCTGTAAGAAACTTTGGAGTGACATCCATTCCTTAAGCCTCAGATCAATTGCCCATATTTCCTTTTGTCATGGCACTTGTCATACTCTATGACTTCTCTGTATTATGCCCTTTCAGGAAAGTGGATTTATCTTATTTATTGTTGAAATTTCAGAAAGTAGTAGAAGGCATAGATATTCAGTAAATATTTCTTGCATAGATAGGTAAGGACACTTTCTTTAATTTCTCACAATAAAATATCTGGAACTTAGTGGCTCAATATGTATAAAAACATGAATAACAGATTTGTCCATAAATAACCAGAAGATTGGGGTAGAAGAAGTAGTCCTATGAGTTAACATGTATAAATTGTAAGGGAAGTGAATTAGTTCCTATGCCTTAAATTTGAAATATCCTTATTTGAATGTTTTTATGTGTTCATTTGTAATATTGATGTTTTCTGTATTAAAGTTACTGTTTGTTCTGTTATTATAATCAAACTTTAAGCAATGTAACTATTTGCCAGATACAATTGATTAATTTTTGCATCTAAAGGTACATAAGTGGCACTATATGCCTAGTGCTCCTGTTTTCTCACTAGATATATGGATATAGATAAATGTGTTGTGTTTCAGCTTCTATTTAGTTCTTTCTGTTGTTGTCTTGTATTGAGAATTCTAAAGTTTGTTCATGTGTTTCTCAGAATTAAAGTAAAAACCGTACAAATTTATTTTGATTTTCTTTTTTTCTATTTATTTATTTTTCATTACAATTCTTAATACACCATTATACAATAATTTATCATATCTCTGATTATATATAAGGTATGTTGACACCAAATTATTTTGATTTTCTAAAAGCTTATTTTGACTATGACAGCATATTGTTTTCCTTTATCTTGCCAAAATTCAAATCTGATAAAAACTGTACTTAGAGATATGTGATAAGTAATGTGTTACAATATATGTATTCTAGAGATATTATGATTGTAGACTATGATTGAAGAAAGATGTTTCAGTGTTTAATATTAATTTATCAATGCTTTTAGGGTATAATTTGAATAAAGTGATCCTTTCACTTTTTCTTCTCATTTTAAACCAATGATTCTAAAAGGAAAGAAGAACACCTGTGTTAAGGAGAGTGGGTATGTGCTCTCAGCTCCACAGCAGGCCTCCTTCCCTCCTTACCTGTGACTCCTCAACCTTTTTTAGTACTGTGACAATTTAAAAGTTTCCTAAATTTGAATTTTGTTTGGGCACAGGTTTAAGTGCCACTTCTCCAGATGAAGGGTTAATAGAGGACTTGACTGTAGAAGACAAAGCAGTGGAGCAACTGGCAGAAGGATTGCTTTCTCACTACTTGCCAGATCTGCAGAGATCAAAACAAGCCCTCCAGGAACTCACGTAAGCAAACAAGCAACCAGATATGCACCCATTTCCTTTCTGGTGTAGGCATAATTTATATTTGCATATAGTATTAAGGTATAATATTTTGTAATATTTAATAATAATTTAGTATTTCTATATCTTTCATGAGTACATAGTAATCTGAATATGAAAAGTAAAATGAATACTCTAAAATGTTTAATTTCCTCTAAGAAGTACCCCAAAATCTTATCTAATTTCTGTGATTAGTTTAGGTGTTTTATCATTATTTTATGAACGTATTGCCTACTGGAGAGTGTCACAGGGTGGGTATCCACCTATTACTGAGTAGAGGTGAAAATTTGCATCCACAAAAGTTATACTTTTTTTTTTTTTTTTTGTCATTTTGATATTTTCATTGGCTGGTTTGAATATTTTCCAGAGATCCTTAAACATCTTTTTTTGAGATGACCTGTTTCGTTCCTAGTAAATTGTAAATAAAGGATTGTATTATGTGCTAAAAAAAGATCAGAATAATGTAGAATAGAACCCACAGAGTGCAATCAATATACAAAAATATACACTCTGTAGTTACTCTCACCCAGAAATGACAAACTTAATTAGCTTTTGCCTCATTCTGCGTCAGAATCTTTCTGGATTGCCCTGGTTGGCTTGTCTGTCATTTCTTTCTGTGGTGGTGAACTTTAATTTTGCTATGAACTGCTTATGCTGTAAGGCCTACCCTTTTAAAAATTATTTCAGAATACTTTATTATGGCAAACGAAGAGGAATAATCAACCTGCCTGTTTTCTCATTTTTAATAAATAATGTTGATTCTTGGCTTTATGATGCTAAATGGATATAAAAGTGGTGTTCTGTGACATGTAGCACACTGCTGTAGTTAGGAAGTTGGCAACATTCTCAGTTTTCTGCTAGTCTCAAGGGAGAATTTTTATCCCTTATGCATGGAATGCCTTGTATTTTGATGCCAATCAAGCCTCATTACAAAAAGTCATAAATTGGATAAATTATGATGGACTGAAGGGAAGGTTAAGACAAAATATATCTGCAAACAAAATATATCTAGGTAACATTTTACTTAAAGGAAGTTGGGAATCAAGGTTTAATTGCAGAGTTTAACATTGACTAAAGTGAAATGTTTTGAATAACCCCACTTATCTTCATAGACACCCAGAAGAAGATGATGATGATGATGATAAAATCAGCTACTCTGTTACTACTGTATATGTTCTATATGCCCAGCTCTTTATTTACCATGTCTTAATTAATTCTCACATTAACTTTATGAAATATTTAATATTATTCCCATTTAGGATTCAGGAATCCGAGGCTCAGAAAAGTTAAATAGCTTGGAAGAGTTTACACAAATAGTGGTAGAGTTAACTATTGAATATGATGAGTTAGTATTTGTTAAACTTGTTGAGTGTTACAGAATGGTAAGCAAATTTAAGAGAAATGTTTTCTAGTAGCTGCTGCTTTTTCCTACATCTTCATAAGTAGTGAAATTTGTTCTAGGTACAAATGTAGTACTAGTCCTGGCTCTGCCATCAAACCTTTGCTAAGCCTCGTCACCATAGAAACCAAGGCCTAGAAAGGTGAGGGAAAAAGTAGTGGTTGATAAAAATTAAGTTTATTTTGTAGCTAACAATGGGTAATTGCATCATAGTGCAATTTTGAATGGCCTTTGGGGAGCTTCATTTGAGATAATCCATGCTTGGACCTTCAATAGAAATAGCTTTTCTTTCAAAGAATCCTTCCTTAGACACTGCATCAGGCATCACAGTCATTTCCAACATATTTACCACGGATTGTACAAAGCTTCAAAGAAATTGAGGTTCAGTCATCTTTTCTGCTCTATTGTATTTTAGGTAAACTACTTCTTCCTCTTTTTTTTAAAATTCTATTACTGGTGCATTATAATTATATATAATAATTGGGTTAATTTTGACATAATTAAACATACATGGAGTTTAATTTATTCCATTTGAGTCTCTGGTGCCTTCCACCTTTCCCTTCTCGTCTCCTTCTCTCTCCTTTACAGTGGGGCCTCCTCCTTGAGTGCCTAGATTATGGATCCAGAAGGCACTCTACTTAAGGTATTATCATAAAGAATGCAGATCAGGATTAACCAAAGGAAGATGCAATGGCCAGGTCTGGGTAGGATCCAAACACAGAGCTTCTTTCTGTGCTTTTTCCTAGTGAAATTAGGGCATGTCAGAACTTCCTCCCCACCACCACCCAAGGCACATCTGTGTTCACTAACCAGGAATCTCTACTGAGCCTTAAGTGTTACAAGGTTTTATTGTGGTTTTATTATGTAGGCATACTGGATTGAATCATTGACAACCTAATCAAATTCAATCTCTAGTTTCCTTCCTTCCTTCTCTGGGCTGATATCACATGGCTCAAAGCTCCAACCCTCTAAATCACATGGTTGGTATTTCTAGCACGTCCAGCCCCCCTCTTGAAGCTCTAAGAGGTCTGCTATAGAGCTACCTCATTGGCATAAGAGGTATGAGTCAAGAAGCTCATGGATAACAAAGACATTTTTATCACTTGGGAATTTCAAAGATTTTCAGAACTATGCTTGGAACTTGGTACAAAGGTCAGACAAATTCTTTTAATACAACAGGTGTCTATTCAGATCTTTGTTAGTGAAAATTTTTTCTTTCTTATTGTTGAGTTTTAGGAGTTTTTGTTTATTTTTGATACTAGTCCTTTATATTTCAGATGTTTTCTTCAAGTCCATGGTTTGTCTTTTCGTTCTCTTAATAGTTTCTTTGGCAGAGTAGAGGTTTTTAATTTGAATAAAGTCTGATATCAGTTTTTCTTTCATGGATCATGCTTTGGTATCGTATTTAAAAACTTATCAACAAAACAAGGTCACCTAAACCTACATTTTCTTCTAGAAGTTTTAAGTTTGCATTTTATATTTAGATCTATGATCCATTTTGAGTTAATTTTTGTGAGTGGTTTTAAATCTGTGACCAGATTTATTTCTTTACATATGGACAGTCAATTGATTTAGCACCATTTGTTGAAAAGACTATTCTTTCCCCATTGTATTGAAACTGTTTCTTTGTCAAAGAGCAGTTGATTATATTTATTTGGGTCAATATAAGGGCTTCTTAGTTTGATCCATTGGTCAGTGTGTCTTTTAGTTTGCTAACACTATGCTGTTTTGATTTCTGTAGCTTTATAGTGAATCTTGAGATTGAATAGTGTAAGTCTCCTGACTTTTTTTTCCCCCCAGTATTGTGTTGACTATTTTAGGTCTTTGCCTTTCCATGTGAAATGTAGAATTAGTTTATTGACAGCTACTAAATAACTTTGATTGGGATTGTATTAACTTTCTAGATTAAGTTGGGAAGAATTGACATCTTAAAAATGAGATGGACATCATTACCCTAAGTACATGTATGAAGACATGAATGGTGTGAATATACTTTGTATTCAACCAGAGAATGAAACATTGTGCTCTCTGTATGTAATATGAATTATAATGCATTCTGCTGTCATATGTAATAAATTAGAATAAAAAATATTGTCATTTAGTCCATGTACTTGGAATATTTCTCCATTATTTGAATCTTTGATTTTTTTCAAAAGAGTTTTATACTTTTTTCATTCTGTGTGTGTATATATATATGTGTATGTGTGTGTGTGTGTGTATGTGTGTGTGTGTATATATATATATATATATTTTAAGATTCATACCTAAGTATTTCATTGGAGAGAGGGAATATTTTACAAGTGGTATTGTTTTTTAAATTTCAGTTTCATTGCTGGTAAGCAGCTGAGTGTATAGTAGCCTCATGTCCTGAAATCTTACTTTAATTGTTTGGTAGAAATCACCAATGAATTTAACTGGCCCTGGTACTTTTATTTCATTTTATCTTATTGGAATCAATATTAATTCACCTTTTCTAACAAATATAGGCCTACTTAGATTTTCTGTTTCTTTTGATGTGAGTTTTGGTAGTTTGTGTCAAGGACTTAGTCTACTCCATCCAAGTTATTAAATTTGTGGGTATAGAATTCTTGGAAGTATTCCTTCATTATCCTTTTAATGTCATGGGAGTATTAGTGACCCTTCTGTGAATGATACCATTAATTTATGTCTTTTTTTCCTGTTTGATCTGGCTAGAGGTTCATCAATTTATCATACGGAAGTTTTGGGTTATATTGATATTTCTTTAATGTTTTCAGTTGTAATGTCCTGTTTTTGCTGTTCTACTTATCTAATATGGTTGACTTACTGAGTTTTCCTGTTCCGTGTTCTGTATTTCACCATCTGTGACCTCTGGCCTATTCTCTTTTTCATCATTACTCTATTTAGCCCAGTTTTTCAGACAAATCATATTATATTTCTTTTTAAAATATCACTTAATGTCACTTATTCCTGTGACTCTTCCATTGATCCACTTGGAGAGAAATATTAGAGAAGTTTGCTTCTCTTCCTCAATAGGATTTGAATCAAAATTTTAATGAGGAACCTTAGAAGTCATCTGTTCTGACCTCTCTTTAGAAATGAGATGATATATATCCAGAAAAATAAGCTGAATCCCCAAAGCCACACAAGTAGCTATTGGTAGGGATAAGGTTGCAATCCTAGTTCTGTGCTTTTTTTTTTCAACTTGCTACTTATTTATCTTTTTGAACTTATTCCTTGATACTGCATCCTTCCCACCTCTAATCAGAAAAGTTAGTGCTCCTCATTTCCTTTATGGGAATGTTGCTGTTTTAAAGTATGTAAGATATTGAGTTTCTTGGGGAAAATATTATAAAAAGCTTATTTTTTTTCAGGACAATAAAAAGAATTGAAAATACTTTTAAATGATTTGATTATTTTAGTTATTAGAGTCTGCAATTGAAGCAAGAATATAGACACATTAGTTATCAGTGTGCCTTTATAATATTATGTTGAAACAGATGATGCTAAACCAAATAAGCCTTGGGGGGAATGCATTTCTACTTAATTCTAAACTTTAGCATTAACCAAAATGAATATTATTTCCTCTGAAGAACTACCACTTAAAATATGTAAAGTTTATTTTGGCTATGTGCTTTTGTTTCAGACAGAACCAAGTTGTGTTATTAGATACATTGGAACAAGAGATTTCAAAATTTAAAGAATGTCATTCTATGCTGGATATTAATGCTTTGGTGAGTGTGATTTTTGTTGATATAACTCAACTATACATTGTTTTAGAAATAGCTAGGTCTGTGTGGTGGTGCACATCTGTGCACAACTGAAATTCCAGTGGCTTGGGAGGCTGAGGCAGAGGATTACAAGTTCAAAGGCAGCCTCATCAACTTAGTGAGGCTTTAAACCACTTAGTGAGACCCTGTCTCCAAAAACAAGCTTAAGTTTATTCATTCAGGTATGTACTTAGAATGTACTTATATATGTTTAGGATTTTAACTTATGCATTTTTAAAGTTTATAATTTGGGCTTCGTGGCTTTTGGTTAAAGCACCTGTCTAGAGTTTAGCACTTGTCTTTTTTTTAAAAAAAATTTATTTATTCTTTTTAGTTTACATGATAGTAGAATGTATTTTGATATACCATATTATACATGGAATATAACTTCCCATTTTTATGATTGTACATGATGTGGAGTTATATTGGTCATATATTCATATATGAACATAGGAAAGTTATGTCTGATTCACTCTACTGTCTTTCCCATTCCCATCCCCTTTCCTTGCCCCCGTTCTGCCCTGTCCAATCTGGTGAACACCATCCTCCCCCCAGCTTATTATGAGTCAGCATCCACACACCAGAGAGAACCTTCAGCCTTTGTTTTTTTGGGATTGGCTTCTTTTACTCAGCATTATAATCTCCAGTTCCATCCATTTGCCTACAAATGCCATAATTTCATTTTTCTTTATGGCTGAGTAATATTCCATTGTGTATATATACCACATTTTCTTTATCATTCATCTGTTGAAGGGCACCTAGTTTGGTTCCATAGCTTAGCTATTGTGAATTGAGTTGCTATAAACATTGATGTGGCTGGGTCACTGTAGTATGCTGATTTTAAGTCCTTTGGTTATATACCAAGGAGTGGGATAACTGGGTCAAATGGTGGTTTCATTCCAAGTTTTTTGAGGAATTTCCATACTGCTTTCCAGAGTGAGTGTATCAATTTGCACTTCCACCAAATTAGTGTACTTTCCCCCCCACATCCTTGCCAACATTTATTGTTGCTTGAATTCTTGATAATTGCCATTCTAACTGGAGTGAGATGAAATATCAGTGTAGTTTTAATTTGCATTTCTGTAATTGCTAGTGATGTTGAACATTTTTTCATATATTTGTTGACTGATTGTATTTCTTCTTCTGTGAAGTATCTGTTCAGTTCCTTAGCCCATTTTTTGATTGGGTTATTTAGTTTTTTGGGGTTAAGTTTTTTTTTTTAATATATATATTTTTTAGTTGTAGATGGACACAATATCTTTATTTATTTATTTTATGTGGTGCTGAGGATCAAACCCAGTGCCTAACGCATGTGAGGCAAGTGCTGTATCACTGAGCTACAACCCCAGCCCTTAGTGATAAATTTTTTAGTTCATTATATATCCTGGAGGTTAATGCTCTGAGGTGCACGTGGCAAAGATTTTCTCCCATTCTGTAGGCTCTCTGTTCATGTTCTTGATTGTTTCCTTTGCTATGAAGAAACTTTTTAATTTGATACCATCCCATTTATTGATTCTTAATTTTACTTCTTGGACTTTAGGAGTTTTAATGAGGAATTTGGTTCCTAAGCCAGCATGTTGGAGATTTGGACCTACTTTTTCTTCTATCAGGCACAGGGTCTCTAGCCTAATGCCTGGGTCTTGGATCCACTTTGAGTTGAATTTTGTATAGGTTGAGGGATAGGGTTCTAAATTCATTTTGTTACATATGGATTTCAGTTTTCCCAGCACCATTTGTTGAAGAGGTTATCTTCTCCAATGTATGTTTTTGGTGCCTTTGTCTAGTATGAGATAACCATATTTATGTGGGTTTGTTTTTGTGTCTTCTATTCTGTACCATTGGTCTATGTATCTGTTTTGGTGCCAATACCATGCCATTTTTGTTACTATGGTTCTGTAGTATAACTTAAGTTCTGGTAATTGTGATGCTTTCTGCTTCACTTTTCTTTCTGAGGATTGTTTTGGCTATTCTGGGTCTTATTTTTCCAAATTAATTTCAAGATCGCATTTTCTATTTCTATGAAGAATGTCATCAGAACCTTAATAGGAATTGCATTAAATCTGTATAGCCATTTGGTAGTATGGCCATTTTGACAATATTAATTATGCCTATCCAAGAACATGAGAGATCTTTTCATCTTTTAATGTCTTCTTCAATTTCTTTCTTTAGATTCTGTAGTTTTCATTATAGAAGCCTTTCACCTCTTTTGTTAGATTGATTTCCAAATAATGTTTTTGAGGCTATTGTGATTGGGTTATTTTTCCTAATTTCATTTTCAGTTGATTCATCAGTGATGTGTAAGAATGAATTTGTTTATGGGTGTTAATTTTATATCCTGATAGTTTGCTGAATTCATTTATGGGTTCTAGAAGTTTTCTAGTGGAGTTCTTTTGGGTCTTTTAGATATAGAATCACATTGGCAAATAGGAATAGTTTGAGATTTTCCTTTCCTGTTTGTATCCCTTTAATTTCTTTCTTCTGTCTGATTGCTCTGGCTAGTGTTTCCAGGACTGTGTTGAATAGGAATGGTAAAAGAGGGCATTCCTCTTGTTCCAGTTTTTAAAGGGAATGCTTTAGATTTTTTCTCCATTTATAATGATGTTGGCCTTGTGTTTAGCATGTATATAGCTTTTACAATGTTGAGGTATGTTCCTACTCTCTCTAGTTTTTCTAGTGTTTTGAATGTGAATGAATGCTGTATTTTGTCAAATGCTTTTTCTGCATCTGTTAAGATAATCATGTGATTCTTGTATTTATTGATGTGATGAATTACGCTTATTGATTTCCATATGTTGAACCAATCTTGCATTCCCTGGGATGAACCCCATTTGATCATGGTGCACCATCTTTTTAATATGTTTTTGTATGCAATTTGCCAGGATTTTATTAAGAATTTTTGCATATGTGTTCATCAGGAATATTGATGTGAAGTTTCTTTTTCTTGATGTAGTTTTAGAATTTGTCCTTTTTAAAAATATTTTTAGGTCGTAATGTGCACAGTATCTTTATGTATTTTTTATATGGTGCTGAGGATCGAACTCTGCCTCATATGTGCGAGGCAAGGTCTTTCCCACTGAGCTACAACCGCAACCCAAGAATTTGTCTTTTTAACAGGAAACTTTGCTTTGCTGGAATTTCCATTTCTTAATATCTTTTGTAATATTGAACTTGTGAAATTGAACTTATTTCTAAGTCTTAATTATATTTTCTCATTGTCTCAATCTGCATGACAGTTTATTCAAGGCTAACTGAGCAGTTGATGAGGGGATGAAGAAAAGACAGTCAAATACACAAACAGAAAAAAAACCAGGGCCTGGTGGTTCAGCCAACCTCGGATGGAGGAAGACTGACCTTGCTTGGCATGTTTATTATGTAGGTTTAAACATTAAAAGGATTTATTGTGAGAAAGTTTCTTCAAGATAAACAGAACTGAAGTTGAAGGTATAAACAGCCCAATTAAAACTTGCCAGCCTGCACCCATAATTCTCTACCCCCTGGGAAGCTGGCATTTGAACCCAGGGTTAAGAACAATAAATTCTGTGACTGGTACAAAATCTTCCTTTGAATAGGGCATCACTATAGCAACTGGGCAATCTCAAATCAATACCCTGGAGCCGAGAGTTCTCCAGGGAGGGATCGCCTCTGTCACAGGATAGTTCAAAACCTATGACTTAGTGACAGACCATAATTGAAGACTTAGAAACTAAAGAGTAAGGAACTTTTTAAAAAATGAAATGCAATTACTTAAAATTTTTTTTGTTGTTGTTGTAGATGGACAGTATGCCTTTATTTTATTTTATTTTTATTTTTATATGGTGCTGAGGATCAAACCCAGTGCCTCCCACATGTGAGACAAGTGATCTGCCATTGAGCTATAGCCCCAGTCCAAAGTAAAGAACTTTTAGGGTTTTTCCCATTAAGGAAAATACAGTCTCTATCAATTACCTGGTTTCTTAAATTAGCATTTTGTTTAATTATATGGCATATGTGTAATACTATAATAAATTAATACCGTGGCTAAAATGAATACTTCAAGAATGATTTATTAGATCTTTCAAATAATTGAATAATTGAATTTCATCAGCAACTCTGTAGTTTTTTTCTGTTGGGAGGAGGGTACCAGGAATTGAACTCAGGGGCACTCAACCACTGAGCTACATCCCCAGCCCTATTTTGTATTTTATTTAGAGACAGGGTCTCACTGAGTTGCTTAGTGTCTTGCTTTTGCTGAGGCTGGCTTTGAACTTGTGATACTCCTGCTTCAGCCTCCCCAGCCACTGAGATAACAGGTGTGTGCCACCAAGCCCATTAACTCTGTTGTTTTTTGAAGAGAACTGATATTCTTTATTTTAAGTAAAGGTAAGTAGCAAAACCAAGAAACTTGTTTTTCCCCTTGAACATCAGAAATAGCTTGGTTTGCATGTTTTATATATCTGGTAGAGATCCATACGTACCTCAAAAAGCAGACTTTTTATTGGGAAGATGGAGTTCACTGATGTTTTCCTTACAGAACAATCCAAACCAAAGTCCATATTCTCTACGATGGGACCGAGAGAGGCTTGTTGTATTAAATAGTCTTCTGTTCAGTAGTTTGTGACATCTTGTGAAGGGGGTAAGCCAGGTTACACTGACCAACTTTTGTGTTCCTGGCTGAGTTCAAGTTGCATTTGAATGGGTATTTATTGCACCAGTGAACTAAGAGGATGCAGTACCATTGCCTCAGTCTGAAGGAATAGAAACTGAGTTTTCTTCTTTTTTCCTCTCTCATCCAAGATTAGTTTTAATTGTCATCTAGGAATTGAAAAGTGGAAGGAATTGAGAGAGGGGGTGGTCTGGAAGCTCTAGATCTTGTCAGATTGTGATTTTTATTTGCAGCTACAGTAAAGTTGCAGATGTATCTATGGATACTTCTCTCCTTTTTTCTGATTCTGTTGCATTATCTGAGAATAAAGTGTTCTTCTCTCCCACCTTTGTAGTCCTGCATCATCCTCCCACATTCTCCTGTCATAAGACTTGGTTTAGGCTTTGCAGACTGGCTGAGATGGAAAGCATGTGCTTATAATTCCTGGGGAAGCACAGTATCCTTGCAGAGGCTCTTTTGCTTGGTCTGACCTCAAAAGCCCAAGGAACATGATCAAACTTGTCCATAGTTCTCCCAGTGATCTCTGGTAATAGCTTGGGTTTTCCTGATGAGCAGTGCATCAATTAAGCTGTCCTATGTACCATAGCTTGCTCTCTCTTTTATAGTGTTTTACATTTCTAAAAGAATCATTTCATGTTTTTAAAGCAAAATGCAAGCTCTACCCACTTAAATATAAAGGTCTGTTTTATGATTTGTTTTTGTCAATCTGAACTTAATCAATTATTTTTCAAATCCTGCTAATGTTTTAAATAAAAATTATTTTTTGGAACTTGAAATATGGACATAATTAAGGCTCTAAAAAAATCGACCTCTTTAAGAAGAATGAACTATAGTTTAGGTATTGATCTATTGATCCATTTTGATATTTCACTCATATTTTAACTTTTCATTTACTTTTCCATGTTAAGTTCACTGAAGCTAAACACTATCATGCCAAGTTGGTGAACATAAGGAAGGAGATGCTGATGCTCCATGAAAAGACATCAAAATTAAAGGTAAGTTGAAAAATACAAGTTTAAAGTTTATTTTTCTTCAGTATTCGTGTGTTGACTTTTTATTCTTGCATGTATAGTAATATAGATAAGTCATAGTACATTGTTTTCTTTTAAAACTTGTCATTTTAAAAATCTCTCTCTGAGCTTCTTTTCTAATAACTTGGCAGACAGGCTCATATTCTCTGGATATGCAGCTGCAATTATCATTTAATAAGAATTTGTAGTAAAATTTTTTTTTTTTAATTAAGGAGACCTTGAGTTACCTAGAATAAATCTTAAAATTAAATTTGAAATGTATTAGTATGTATTGATTACCTCAAAGTATCATTACTTTTGAATTAGATCATAATCTATAACCCTTTTCTTTGACACAGAAAAGGGCACTTAAACTGCAGCAGAAGAGGCAGAAAGAAGAGTTGGAAAGGGAGCAGCAACGAGAAAAAGAATTTGAAAGAGAAAAGCAGTTAACAGCCAAACCAGCTAAAAGGGCATGAAAAATTGTGTTTTTGTGTGTTTTCTTCATGTATTCTATACTCTTTGGATTTAAGATGACCTAAGTATGGAGTGAGGTTCATATAGTGCCTTATACCTTTGTGTTATGTTTTGAAATCTTCATCCCAGGTTCGCTGTGTCTCCATATCTTGTTTAAGCCATTTAAGAAGCCTTTCTTTCTTAGTAGTAGACATAATGTCACTTGGTTTTGATATTTATATGTAACTTTCAACTTTTGTTTTGCTAATTTTATAATTCATCAGTTTGGCCTTCTGTCATTTGTAAACTGAAAAATGCTTTGATTATTATGGGAGTCTAGACTCTTAAGTAGTTCAAAATTATATGAATTTTTAAGCTTCTTGGTTGTAGATTTACAAGTTTAGTTTCTTATTTTATGAGATGATATGCCTTTCTGGCAATGAAACACTGATTTTGATTATTGCCTTTTCATTGTTTAGTTAAGAAAAATTACCAGTTCTTTAATCACACATGCCCCTGGAAAAGATAATATAAGCCTTTGTGAAGAACATAGTGGAAAAGTATATGCACAGGGAATAATAGCACCTTAGGCATAGGCTAGGTGAGAAAGATGCCAGATAGATTCTTCTATAACCATATAGTCTCGCTTATTTTTGTTGTTGCTTTATGTATCTTTGGGGTTCACAATAGATTACATCATTCCTAAAGTTTGGCAGGGATGATAGAGATATCATACACTCAAATGTCCCTATGGATTTATACTTAGTCATTAGATAGTGAGATATAGTTTCTGTGCTTTTAAATCTCAAATAGAATGAAAAGTACAACTACCTACTTTATAGATAATGTTAGGATTGGTGGAAAATTAGTAAATACCTTCACAAAAGAGGCAACATGAAACATTTAGTGTTTTCTAGAATTGTTTTCTGATGTTATATGTGGGAACTTATTATGTGAGGGAAATATTATGAAGTTTCATTGCTTGAAATTGATAGTGTATTATACTTTTGTTTTAGTATTATTTAACATGTAACTGGTCTCCAATCAGAGAATGCGTATCTTTTATAATCCACATTACATTTTTGGTAAGCTGGAACCACTACCTCTGATCACATATCAGGCTAATGATATAGAAAGCAGTAGATTTAAGTTGGGTGTTAAGAACTGGTCTGTTTGGAGGTTTAAGTAATTTGTTTGAAAGAGCCTTCTTTGATGAATGAATTATAGTCTCACAATTCACTTGACTTTAACCTAAGAATATAAATATCCTCATTTCTGAAATTTTGTGGCTCCTAAGTCTAGCTGGTCAGAAAAAATAGCCACCTACCTTCAAAATCTGTATGGTCACAAATAGCCAGAGATGACTGAAAAGATTTTTTCAAAACTTTTCTATATTTGAAAAACTAAACAAAATTGGGCTCAAGCCTTATTGCCATCGCTATCAAATACATGGAAAAGAAAAAATGTCGTACAAGAAATAAATGAAAAGAAATACAGTTTTATAAGAAAAAAAAATATATTTGAAAAGGCTAATTGTTGCCATCTATCACTTGCTATAACTGCCTAGGGCATCACTAGGGCTTGCAGGACAATGTCACCTAAATTGCTGAATGTACTCTTTATTGATTTCTGACAAAGGCTATGCATTGTTTGTCAGAGTGGTTTTGACCTGTTGTAATAATGGTTGTTTAAAATGCTAGTTCCTGGTCACTACTCTCAATCTACTGATGCAAATCTATTTGTTTGGTTTGTTTTGCTTTGTTTTTAGTTTTTAGTTTCCCCCAGTGATTCTAATGGACCTTGAAAGATGAGAACCATGGGTGTAGTGGCCAAGGTCATTGTTTCCTGTACTAAGGTGCATATCATTTTTGCCTGGGAACTTTAAAAAAAAAAATACATTCTGAGTTCTTACTGATTAGTATCAATAGGAGCCAGTGTATTTTTAGGGCACTCCCCAGATAGTTCTGATGCAAGGAACCACTGGTATAGATTATCTAGTAATTTATTTATAAGCAGTGAAATAGTTTAAAAACTCTCTAGTAACTTTTGGGTTAATCTTATGAAATAAATTCTGAATTGTTGGTTTTAATATACAATCAGATTTAAAACTGAACCCTAGCAGACAGGAAATAAATATAGAATTCTAGTTAATTAATTGAATTTCTGTTTTAAATCATGTTTATTGAATGAATGTCAAGGCCCATAACCTTCTTTCAGAATTGTATTATTTAAGTTTTGAACATTTTTAAACAGAGCAAAACAAATATAAATTAGCATCCACTATTTAAAGGTGAATGGTAAATCAAAAGTACTGTTATCTTGGTAATTAAAATCTAAAATATCTGTATTTCAATAACAAATATATCTTGCTAACAAAACATGGAACTCTTGTAATTATTCTTGCTGTATTTTTCACAAATACAGGATTGGTTGAAAAAGGTTGCCTTTGTTTTGAAACTATCAAAAATGTATTGAGCTGAAAGATGCAAGTTCACTTTGTGTTTACTCTGCAGTAAGTATCATGTAAATATGCAGAATGCTAAATGTAATATAGATGTGTCTACAGTGAGTGTTTAGGTGGATACAGTTTATAAGTATATGCCCACATACATTTGTCTGATTTTGAACTTGTAAACTTGTAAACTGAGGACTACTTTTTATGCATTTAATAAAAAAAATCTCTAAATTATCCAGTGTTCATCTGTAATACTTATGTTTTCTGTATTTACTTAAAGATAGTTCTGTTTATGCTGTTATTGTCATCAATTATTCTTAATGACTAAATCACCTAATTTCACTGTGCTCATACTTAAAAAGTTAGTTTCTAGATGTTTCTTTTGGATAAAGATAGTTCCTGTATAACTATATATTTAAGATTTCTGTTGCTCATTTATTCATGTTGTTTTAGATGAGTATTCATATGTGGGACCAGATGCCATCAAGTTTTCAGGTAGGATTAGGATGAGACTAGGTTTATTTTCAAATTTATTAAGAGAGTGAAGCGAGTAGTCAGGATAGACATTTCCAATGCCTGTAATTTAAAAAGCACTCAATAAGCAAAAATTCCTTAAACACAGTGTAAAGGAAGAGTAATAAAGCAAGATGGGTGTAATTTGGAGCATAGTGGGGATGGTAATCTGGAGAAAGGGAAAGATTAAGGCCAAAGTGAAAGGTTAAAGTATTCTATCTCTATGTTTCCTGAATAAGGGAGGCTTACAGGCATGTAGAGAAGAATTAATAAAATTCACCTATTTTAGGAGAAAAGCAGTAAAAGCTTGCCCCCTACTGTCACTTCATTGCAAAATGAGGAAGAGGTTGTAGCTGTTCATTCTGGTTTTGACCATAAACATATTTCTAATATATTCCAGGAAATCTGTGATACTTAAATCTGAATAAGGATGGGACTAAAAAAATCACTCTGAGGATGTATGGATGCTGGACAGTCTTATTTTTAGTCTTGGCTTTTATTATTGCATTAGAAAAGACAGTTAAGTGCAGGGAATACTAAGCAAAATGTGTACAAATCTAAAGATTCCTGGCCTCTGCTTTGAATATAATATTTAGAATATTAAAGCATATAGGAACTTAGTAGTTTAGTGGTTAAAGCTGTGGACTCTAGAGTCAGTCTTGGCTCATATTCCTACTTGACTTTGGGTGTTGGACAGATTGCTTTAACTGTACCTCAGGGTCTCGTAACTGTCAAGGTGGGATAATCAGAGTTTCAAGCTTCATAAGAGTCCAGAGTTTTATGATAGTTATATAAAATCCCTTAACAAAATAATAAGAATCCAAATGTTGGATGTCATATGTACACTTGGAGGAAACTTATTTTGCTCCTTTTGCATCTAGTTTTTTGGGGGGGTATAGAGCATTGAACTCAGGGGTATTGTTACCACTGAGCTACATCCCTAGACCTTTTTTATTTTATGACAGGTTCTCGCTAAATTGCTTAGGGCCTTGCTAAGTTGGGGAGGCTGACTTCAAACTTGTAATCCTCCTGCCTCAGCTTTCACATGAGTGTGCTCAGTTTACACATGAGTCCCCACTGCCTAGAGTCCTTCACTGTAATGTCTGCCTGTTGGATCCCTATTCATTCTTTGTAATTCAAATGTTACCTCTTACTGGTTTTTCTCCCCACCTCCCAAAGAATTAATACTTTCATAATACATTTGTCTCAGCACTTACAGTATTAGTTATCTGTTCAAGATCAAAGATATTTATTAATCATCTTTATTCTATCCTATAGTTGATATGTTTGTTTTGTCCAGAAAAACACAATCAAGATATGTTTACATATTTATACATGTAGAGATACACATGCATAATACATACACATATGAGGGAGAGAGAGAAAATTCCAGTAATTAGATTATTTGATTGTGGGGTGTTGACAGGGCTGGCTGGCAGGCTAGAGACCATGGAGGAGTTGGTGTTGCAATCTGAGTCCAAAGGTCACCAGAATTCCCTCTTCCTTGAGGTTCTCAGCCTTTTTCAAGAGAATAAGACTTTCAGCTGAGTGGATAAGCCCTCTACCACCCATGCCTGATGAACTGATTTGCTGATTCAGGGGATCTGGTGGCATCTAAACTGGGGCAGGAAAGTCTCTAGTGATCCCTGAGAAATTCCAGCACATTTTGTGCATACTCAGCATTGAGGGGTGGCAAAAAAATAGCCTTTCCCATTTACCACCATTAAGGATGTGGGTAGAAGATATGTTCATGTGATGTTGAGGAAAGCAGACAGTGACCTCAGCATGAGGGCTGGAAAACTTAGTGATGAAGTGGAATGTGTGATCACCATTATGCAGAATCCCTACCAGTACAAGATTTCAGAGGTTTTTTTTTTTCCCTTTCGTTCTGGTGATCAAACCCAGGGTCTCACTTGTATTAAGCATGAGCTCTACCACTGTTACAGCCCCAACCCATCAGGTTGGTTCTTGAACAGACAGAGGGATTTAAAAGATGGAACATACATCCAGGTTCTGGCCAGTGGTCTGGATAACAAGCTCCATGAAGACTTGGAGCAGCTGAAGAAGATTAAGTGTCCAAGAAGGCTGTGCCACTTCTGGGGCCTTTGTGTCTGAGGCCAGCACACCAGAACCACTAGCCACTGAGTCTGCACTATGGATGTATCCAGGAAGAAATATATCTGTAGGCTTTTTAAAAATTAACATTCATACTTTAAAAAGTGTACTGCTTTAAATTTAATCTCATTTTAAAAATATCTTCATAGCCCCATCTAGACTGCTGTTTGACCAAATATCTAGGTACCACAGCTAGTCGTTGCCATGTAAAATTAGCTACCACAGTTGGTTCAGTGTATATTTTGGGGCTGAATTGAATCTAGTAGGAGAGAGAGATATATACACATTAAAAATGGCTATAATAAAAACTGGATTATGTAAATGCAAATGAAGAACAATATAACAAAATAGTCAATCCCCGCAATTCAGATATGGCCAGGGAGCTTATAATGCTTGGGTAATTCAAGCCACTGCTTCCATGCCTAATTACATATTATATTAAAAATAATAAGTTTCCCAAATCTTGGGAATGATTTGAACTCAGAGATAATAAGTAGACTGGAGGGAAGAAAAATAGATGTGACATTAACTGTTTAAATTTATAACTTCCCCCATGGAGTAGGGGCTGCTCAGTTCTCTTAAAAATAACCACAGGGATGAGTGGGCAGTCTGTGCAAGCTCTGCAGATGAGCCAGACTTTCAACCAGTTAAAGCTCAGATGGGATAATGCTGCCATCTTGTGGTACTCTTTGCTTCCCAACTTGTATAAATTCTAGTGCTGTATTGTCTGAATTGGTTTGATGAATTTTGGCCTAAGCCCTTTAAACTTTAATGACATTTTTTTTAAAAAAAATATATTTTTTAGTTGTTGTTGGTTGGGCACAATACCTTTATTTTATTTATTTTTATGTGGTGCTGAGGATCGAACCCAGGGCCTTGCATGGGCTAGGTGAGTGTTCTACCGCTGAGCCACAACCCCAGCCTCAAAATGACCTTTATTTAAGCAGTGAGATATTTGAAAGCCATCTATGTGAAACACTTAAAAGATTTAAAACTACATTTTTCTAACTTTTTGAGTCTTCCAGTTTGATATTGGTCTTGAGGGGTTTTGTCCCCCTCTTTTCTTCCAATCATGGTCAAGTAATTTATTATCAACCATGCTCAGAATCCTCTCCTAAGCAAAATGTCCAAAACTCTTGCTGTGGGTAAAGGTGCCGTCTACAACCCGCACAGACAGCTAAACTAAGTGTTGCTCGAGTGAAATTCCTAAGGCATCAGAATAAAACACAGACACACAATTTACCTTTAAATGAAGCCTGGACGGCTCCTCTACCCTTGGCCTCAAGCTCCCCAGTGGGAGAGCAAGGAATCTCACAAGAGGCTGGCGAGAATAAGCAAGCACGTTTCAGAGTGGGCTTTTATTGGGGGGACTCTAGATTCTTTAGAAATTTCCATTCAATGAAGGTCAAGGGGGGCAGGGTTACAAGGACAGGTGAGGCAACTTGATCCCTGGGGATGTGGGAAGGCACACCCATGCAGGAGGACACATTTGCTTTTCTCAACCCTACAGATCAGGGCTACTGTCTTTGGTTACCTAGGCAACCAGATCACAGGGTGACCAACAAAGCCACTCCAATCACAAGGGGAGGCAAATGCTGGTCACATGCTATGTTGGCCTCCCACATAAAGGTTCTGGGATTTCCCTGTTTTTTCAACTGATTGATACTGGTGTGGGCACCTGGCTAGTCAGTAATGAATCGGCTTAAGGAGAAACTGCCTAACTGGGGATTCTAACAAATATCACTCATTTAGTCAATCACCATCTTGGGAATATGAATTAAAACTCACCCAAAGAATCAGTCTTTAGTAATGGAAGGAAAAATGAGTGGACACAAAGAAACAGAGAACAGCTGAGTGTTACATGGCAAGGAATCAGGATCTATGAACTTGTACTTCTGAAAGCGGACAAAGTAATTAGACCGCTCAAAGTGACTTGGATCCTGATAAATTTTTCTGGGTGAGGCTTTGTGAAACCTGGGTGCTAGACCATTCTTAGAATTCTGTGGGATTTGATTACTGGGCTGTTTCCTCTTTGAAACATTTCCACAAATAGTTTTACAATATCATCATTGTCCCCTGCTTCTCCTATTTAAGAGATGATCTTAACAGATCCCTATTTGTTATACTATGATAATCTAACATTTTCATTGTAATTTTAGCTTGAGCCAGCGTATTATATTTTTCAAAGTGTCTTACTATGCATTATTTAACTAATAATAAGGGTAATACTGAGGGGTTTATGTATTTCCTACTTCTCAGAGAAGAAGAGATCAACAACCTGTATCCAGTTTCCATCCTGCTGTTAGGCACACAATGGGCTTCATTGTTTTTGATGGGTGTTTCTCTTATTTTTGTCCAATTCTTATTTTCATTTCTGGTTGGATTTCTAATCCAAGCACTACTTCCAGTTCATTTCCAAACTGAGGCCTGGCTCTGTTGAGCATCTGTTATATGCCAGGTGCTTGTAACAGTGACATTAGGTAACAGTTAACATTTTACAGATGAGGAAGCTGAGATACACGAGTTTGAGTAACTGTTCCGGATCACACAGATGTAAATGGTAGGGCTGGGATTTGATTCTCAAAAAGCCCTCAAGCTACCACACA